TGTGGTCATAATCATATTTGATTTACATACCCGAAAGGGGGGCCGATAACGTTGGGGGAGGAGGGGGTAGAGTCTATTCTCTTTTTAGAAAGGAGAACCTACGCGGTGCAACCTATGCAATGCAGTCTTTGCGGTGCAATCTACGTGGTGCAATCCACTCTGCTGAACTTGAAGTCGTCATGTCCACTGCTCGCGCAAACATCCCACCCACCCACCCGCAACTTGGTTTGCAAAACCTCTTAAGACCGACTAGGACGACACCGACGACAACGACTAGGACGACACCGACGACGTCTCCGACGACTTCGACGACGACAACGACGCCGACGACGACGAAGACGACGACGACGACGACGACGCCAACGAAGGCGACGACGAGGGAGGAGGAAGGACGACGACGGCGACAACGAGGACAACGACGACAACGACGAGGGAAGAGGGAGGACGGCGACGACGCGAACGACGACGAAGGAGGAAGGACGGCGACGCCGACGACGACAACGACGAGGGAGGAGGGAGAGACGACGACGACGACGACGACGACGACGACGGCGACGAAATAGGAGGGACGACGACGAGACGCCGACGACGGACGACGACGACGACGTGGGAGGAGGAGGAAGGACGACCACGGCGACAACGACGACGGAAACGACCACGACGCCAAAGAGGACGACGACGACGAACACGAGAAAACACAGAGGACGACGTAGGCGACGACGACGACGACGCGGGAGGAGGGAGGACGGCGACGACGACGACGACGACGGCGCAAGAGCGCGCGCGCACGCTTTTGTTGAAAATCCGCGTTGCGAAACCTTGTGTTTTTGTAAGTATTTTGGACACGATTTTGAAATCCTTCCGAAACCGATGGGTTTTGAAGGTTTTCGGCATACGCCCGCGACGACGCGCGCGTCTGCACTTCGCCCCGTTTTTTGCAGAGGATTCTCGCGACGGCACACGCGCAAGGGCGTTCGACAGATTTCGACATGCGCGCGCGCGAAGCCCGTTTGGTAGCATTTTGTGAAAATCTTGGAAAAACCAATGGTTTTCTTAAGATTTCGCAAGAGTTCGCGCGTAAGCTTTTTTAGCAAATCAGTGTTGCAAAACCATTTGTTTTTGTATGTTTTTTGGGAAACTCGATTGCGAAATCCTTCCGGCACCGAAGGTTTTTGAAGGATTTCGGCATGCGCGCGCGACGACGCGCGCGTGTGCACTTCGTCTTTTTTTTGCAAGGGATTCGTGAAAAAGTGTTATGTTAGAACAACAAATGTCACCGCATAGTGTTTTTTACAAGGGAACCCTGGGGGGGGGAACCCGGCCTGCCTGGGATGGTTTGATTTCATATTTAGGATGGACGAGTGTGCAAAACATATATGAAATCATATGATCCCAGGGGGAAGCGATAAGTCCGGGGGGGGGGGGGGTAGAGTCAATTTTCTATTTAGAAATGAGAATTCACTTGGCGAACTTGAAGTTGTCAACTCCACTGCTCGCGCAATCGTCCCACCCACCCACCCGCAACTGGGTTCGCGCAATCTCTTAAGACCGTGACGGTGGGTACCACATGGCACTTGGCAACGACAGCGACGCCGACGACGACAGCGACAACGACGACGACGACGCCGCCGACAACGACTACGGCGACACCGACGACGTCTCCAACGACTTTGACGACGCCGACAACGACGATGACGACGACGACGATGACAACGACGACGACGCCGACGCCGACGACGACGACGACGACGATGACTACGACGACGATGACGACGCCGACGACGACGACAACGACGACACCGACGACGACGACGTCAACGACGCCGACGAAGACGACGACGACGACGACGGCGGCGACGACGACGACGCCGACGTCGACGACGAAAACGACGACTCCGTCGACGCCGACGACGACGAAGACGACGACGACGTCGCCAACGAAGATGACGAGGGAGGAGGGAGGACGACAACGACGACAACGACGACAACGACGAGGGAGGAGGGAGGACGGCGACGACGCGAACGACCAAAATGGAGGAATGACGGCGACGCCGACGACGACAACGACGAGGGAGGAGGGAAGACGACGACGACGACAACGACGACGACGACGACGACGACGGCGACGAAATAGGAGGGACGACGACGAGACGCCGACGACGGACGACGACGACGACGAGGGAGGAGGAGGAAGGACGACCACGGCGACAACGACGACGGAAACGACCACGACGCCAAAGAGGACGACGACGACGAACACGAGGAAACACAGAGGACGACGTAGGCGACGACGACGACGACGCGGGAGGAGGGAGGACGGCGACGACGACGACGACGCAAGAGCGCGCGCGCACGCTTTTGTTGAAAATCCGCGTTGCGAAACCTTGTGTTTTTGTAGGTTTTTTGGACACACGATTTTGAAATCCTTCCGAAGACGATGGATTTTGAAGGATTTCGGCATACGCGCGCGACGACGGGCGCGTCTGCACTTCGTCCCGTTTTTTGCAGAGGATTCTCGCGACGGCACACGCGCAAGGGCGTTCGACAGATTTCGACATGCGCGCGCGCGAAACCCGTTTGGTAGCATTTGGTGAACATCTGGAAAAAACGATGGTTTTCTTAAGATTTCGCAAGAGTTCGCGCGCAAGCTTTTTAGCACATCAGTGTTGCGAAACCATGTGTTTTTGAATGTTTTTTGAAACTCGATTGCGAAATCCTTCTGGCACCGATGGTTTTTGAAGGATTTCGGCATGCGCGCGCGACGACGCGCGCGTGTGTACTTCGTCGCTTTTTTGCAATGGATTCGCGACAGAATTTTATGTTAGAACAAAACATGTCCCCGCGTATTGTCTATTACAAGGGAACCTCAGGGGGGCCGATCCCGGCCCCCCTGGGATAGTGTAAATTCCTATTTAGGATGGACATGTGGTCAGAATCGTATATGATTTACATACCCGAAAAGGAGGGCCGATAACTCCAGGGGAGGGGGGGGGGTAAAGTCTAATTCTTTTTTTAAAGGAGAACCTAGGCGACGGCGGCGACGGGCAGCACCGCCCGCAAAAGCCGCCACTCGCCCCGAGCGGCGGCGACGGCGATTGCGGCGACGGTGGCGACGGGCGGCACCGCCTTCAAAAGCCGCCATTCACCCCGAGATGGTTAAGCCAAGTAAGAACCTCTAAGTGCAAGCGCTGTTAGGGGAACTAACAGGGAACAGTGATCAAGGCACCCCTTAGACAGCAAACCGTCTAGCTCACTCCCACCCGCCCTCCCAACACATAAGTAACACCCGAGCCTGAGCATCTTCAGCGGTCGTCTTTGGATGGACAGCTACTGGGAACCAAAACCGACCCCATCTGCGCGACGCTGGGGCGAGGTGCGCCACGCGTGCTAGGTGCGCCACGCGCGCCAGGTACCCTTGGGGCCAGAGCGTGCCCAGGCACGCCTGGTGCGCCACATGCGCCAGGTGCTCCAGGTGTGTCGCATGCTCCAGCCGCGCCAGGTGCGCCACGTTCGGGGCACGTGCAGAGTGTGTCAGGTGCGCCTGCGCACGCGACAGCAAACATCGGGAAACATGTCGGCCCCCACCATCCTTGTCGAAAGCCAATGCCCATCATTGTGTTCGGTGGGCCTGCGCACAGCAGGCCATACGCCACCACCTCCGCTGTCCTTGCTGGCCGCGCATGATCCAGTTTTAGCCGCGAGGTGCATGTTGCATTGTTTTCTTAGGGATGGTATCCCTGCGCACAGCAGGCAATATGTTGACACCCCCGCCGTCCTTGCCAAAAACAATACAGAGTGCTCGCGGGCTTCACGGACATGACTCAAGACTTTGCCCCAAAGTGTATTTTGTAGCGTTTTTGGACAGGGATGGTGGGCGGGGGGGCCGCATCGGGTTGGCCGCGCATGCTCCAAATGTGGAGGCAAAGCGCGCTTTGTATTTTTTTGACAGGGATGGTGTGGGGGGATCATGGTGTCCTCATTGTTCCTTGTTGGCTGCCGGTCGCCTTGGGAAGGGTGTGTATATCAATAGGAAACAGTTATCAAACCCTTCCCCGAAGGGGAAGAAGGGGGTCGGAGGAGGAGCCTCTCTAGACCACCTACGCCCAGAGGGCTGGTGGGATTCGGTTCTGGGACCCCTTTCCCAAGCCGATCCCAGCCCGTTTGTCGAGTTTCACCCAGCCGTGGCCACGAGGGCCCCCCCCCCCCGGAGGAGGCCCCCCCCCGAATAGTCAAAGCGCAAGCAGCACTTGCTCTTCGATCCTGGATCCCCTCGGTCCTCGATCGTTTCGGACGCCGTCCAGGGGGCCGGCCTTCAGAGAGGGCATGGGGGGTTTTTGGAAGCCTCCCAGCCTTCTGAGCAGCCGTTCGATCTCTTCTGGGAAGCCCCGTCTGCCTCTTCAGAAGGCCGCGCCCCCCCCTCGCAGACATCCGGCGCTTCGAGTCTCTGCGAGGCGTGGACCCCGCTCCCTCGACGCCTCCCCCATGGCCGGCTTTTCGCCCCGAGCCGTCCCTCGACGGCCCCGAGGCCCGAGGCGGGCCTCCCGAGGCGGGCCTCCCGAGGCCGCTCTGCGCGTGTCTGCTGCCCCCCCTGGGCGGGCCCCTCCTGGGCCCAGGGGGCTGTGCGCGCGCCCTCCCGGCTGGGCCAGGGGGGCGCGGCGTGTGCGCCGCCGCTGGGTTCAGGATGGGCCTGGCCGGGGAGCAGTGGTCAGGGGCAACGACAGGGGGGGGGGGGGGATGGGGGATAGGCACAGGGGGGGGGGATGCATCGAGTCCCAATCGCCCATGGATCGCCGATGGGGGTCTGATAGTCCCAGCCCGCCCAGGAAGGTGCGGATTCCCTATCGGGGGCCTCTCGCCGATCTATCGGCGATGTATCGCCGATTCCAGGACGATGCAGCCCCCCCTAGTTGTGCCAGTCCCCCCCCTGTCGTTGCCCCTCGAGGGTGGATCTGTGCAGCTTCCGTCGCCCCGCGGGCTCCCCGCGGCGCGCCATCCGAGAGGTTGTCCTGCTGCAGAGCCACGGCCTGCGGCGCCTGCTGTCCGAGGCGGGCGCGGACCTGCCGCGCATGCACGCGGAGCTAGTCGCCGGGCAGCGGGACTCGCAGGGCGCCGAGGACGACCCCGACGTGGTCGTCGGGGGATTCTCTTGTTCGGGATGGGTTGAAGATCAGAGGAGGAAAATGCACCGATGCCGCTACCCCTTCTCTCTTTCGCCCTTTTGGGCCTCCGCCCTCGTCGCCATGGCCTGTTTCGCATCGAAGCCTTGGTCGGAACGCACCCTGGGAGAGGTCTGGGGAGTAGCGGTATCGGTATCTTTCGACCACGCGCAGAGGGGGATAGGGGGAGGGGGGAAGGCTTCTTAGAAGCGCACTGCGTCTTGGAGGGCGCAGGTCTAGTCTGTAGATGTGAGGCCAGCACCTTCTGAGGACCAGCCTCCTTCCGAGAAGCCTTCCCCCCTCCCCTTGTCCCCCCTGTGCGCGCCGCCGTTTTTTTTTTTTTTTTTTTTGTTTGTTCTTTCAGATGGGTCGAGCAGGCTTTCGCACTTTTGGGCCCCTGCGGCCCCCGTTCCGGTGGCGCGCGCGCGGCGGGCACCGATGGGGCCGGCGCGGGGGCGGCGGGGCTTTGAGACGGCGGGGGGCCTCCATAAAACGACGCGAAGATCGGGACAAAATCGGATCGGGATAACTCGAAATCTCTGAGAATCGGCGGGTTTGGAGGATGTATTGGGCGCCGCGGCCGCTCGAGAGCGTTCCGGAACGCTCTGAGAGCGCTCCGGAACGCTCTGGAGCGATTTATCCCGATTCTAGCCCTGTTTTATTCTTGGGCGGGCCCCGAGGCTTTCAGGAGCCTTCTTGCAAGCCCCCTGCCGTTCTAGAAGCCCCACGCCTTCTCAGAAGCCCCCACCCCCTCCTCACGCCACCCCGCGGCGTGCGCCGCCAGCCGTGTCGGGCCCTCCTGCCTTCAACCATCGATGCTGATGAACACCTGCTCAGGTTAGACCCGGGGAGGGGTCTGGGGACCGATTTCGAATGGACTTGGTGGATTCGCGCCGCGTTGACGCTGTGGCGACCCCTGCTCAGGCTTTCAAGGTTGAACGCCGCCAGAGGCCCGAAATCTGCCAATATTGAAGGATCCAGCCTAACGGAAAGGCGCGATCGCTCAATATTGAACCATCCACGCGGTGTCAGACGCCCACGCCGACGTCGTCGCGACACGAACCTGCCGTACCCATACATCCTTCGCAACGGAGATGTCAAGTCGGCTGTTTTTCCCACGATGTCAGCGTTGGGAGCCCAGTTTGGGGCCCTGTGTACCGTCATGTGCGATCCAGAAGGAAAAATCCTTCCCAGGGAAGGGACCCAGAGGTCCAGGAATCCATTTCCCGAAAACACCGAGCCGCCGAATGTATGGGAAAGTCCACACCACCATGCCTCAGCTTGGGCGACGAGAGATATGCACATGCGCCGATCCTGGCCAGGCCCAGGATGGGCCTGGCCAGCGTCGGTGCATGTGCATACTCTCTTTCGTTGATCAACCAGAATATCCTGAGCCACATCTCGGTGTATACATCGACCTCTGGACAGGTCGCGAGGCCATGCACGCCGAGGTTTGAGCTCGAGAAGCGGGGCTTCTGTGGAGGCCCGGTGGCAGTTGTTGTATATTCCCAGACGTCGGGCGCTCCGTTTTGTTTGATGCGTGGCCCCCTGGACCTCTCGACCCCTTCCCCACGGCCGGCGTTTCGTCCCGAGGCTCGCAAGCCAAAGCCGACGGGGCGGGGCCAGACGTGAGCTCGACACGCCCTCCTTCCCTCTGTGAAGCCCAGCTGCGTGCAGAGTTGATTTCTGAGGAGATGGAGGAGATGGAGGAGGAGAATGAGAAGAATGAGGAGGAGAATGAGGAGAATGAGGAGGAGGAGGAGGAGGAGGAGGAGGAGGAGGAGGAGGAGGAGGAGGAGGACCCCCTCTCATGGGCCAGCGCTTCGTTCCGAGCCGCTCTTCGGCGGTCCCTCCAGGGCCCAGAGCCAGGCTGCAGAGGCCAAAGAAGGGCGCGAGAGACCTGGGCACCGGACGTCTTCGATTAGACGTCAGAGTGGCGACCTTTCGCTGGAGTGACTTCCGGTGCGAGCCCAATGGCGAAGCGGTAGCAGCGGCTTGCGCGCCCGGCTTTGGCCACCCCGCGTCCCCCCGTCGAGCCGCGCACCAGAGGTCGTTCTTACCCCGGGTCGCTCTTACGTGCAGCCGATGTCTGGGCGTGCCGTTCCGCTCCCCAGGTCGTGCACCTGTCGGACTACTGCCCGCTGGGCCACGACATGGAGGCTACGCTCCACGGGGCGGCGTGCCAGATGAGGCTGAAGGGGGAAGACCAGCTCCGTCTGGATCGTGGGCGGCCGAAAAGCCGAGACAGCTGGCGCGGCCGGCTTGTCGCCTCTTCTGGGATCTGGAGGATACAGAAACATTCGCGCAATGGATGTCAAATATGGCGCGAGCGCACTGAGCTTGCCTTCCCACCCCTCTTCCAAATCCTCCTCAATTTCCTTCCAACTCATTCTCTTCCTCTCCTCCTCTTCCCGCCATTCCCTCCTCATTCATGACATTCCTCCGCCTTCTCCTCAATACCTTTTCCTGATAAGTGACCCCCCATCGTCGCACCGCCAGACGCGTCGGTAGGTCGGGCTGGGCGTTTCGTCCAAGACCTCCTCTCCACGTCTGGCCCTCAAGTGCGAGTTTTGGTTTCAACCAATTGTGCTGCTGGAGTGCGGGTCATATTCGAGATGCGGCCCTCGCTTCAGCGCCGCGAGGGTTCGCCGCAAGGTATTCCAAGAGCCGTACGGACTGGAGGCAGGCCGTTTTCAATACACGTCTCTCGCCTTAGCGCCGTACGCATTCGCTTCCACCACTTCCAGCAGCCACACAGATCAAGGGCGTGTTGCTTTCAAAACCTGGCTCTCGTTTTAGCGCAGCACGCATTCATCTCACATGCTTCTGACAGCTGCAAATCTTGATTTGTGTTGGCTCCCGTCCCAGCGCCGCGCACATTCGTTCTGAAGGCTTCCTACTGCTGGAAGGATGAGCGGTCAATCCTTTTAAAATGATATTTCGCTATCTACTTCTTCAAGTTTTGCCTCCAGAAGTTTATCATGATGCACCAGTTGCACGGCTTGATGGTTGCTCCTGGTCAACGCGGGGCTCTCGACTAAGACGAGGATTTGTAATTCATAGCTGCACGGATGGAGGGTGGTTCTCTTTCAGAATGTGTTGTCGCTAGACATCTCTGACATTCCCTGATCCCACACCGTGGCATGTCTTTTAGCGTCACTCAGGTGGATGTTAGGACACTTCATGAACAGCACGGGGCTCCTGCTTCAATGACATGCCCATGGGGCTCTGGTCTGTCAAAGGGGGTTTCCAAAAGTTCCCCACGCAGTGCTTGCACTTAGGGGATCTTGCTTCTCTTCTAAGGAACTGGGCCTGACGGTCTGGCTGCTACGTCTCCGCCGTCGACGCCCCGTCGCCGCTGGTCGTCTGGGCCCGACGGCCTGTCTGGCGGCTCTGTAGCCGCCGTCGCCGCCCAGTCGTCGCCTCGTCGCCGCCCGTCGTCTGGTCCTGACGGCTGGTTTGCCTGCTACGTAGCCGCAGTCGCTGCCCCGTCGCCGCCTCGTCGCGGCCTCGCATAATTGCAACACATGGATTGCACCACATGCGTTGCAGCACATAACGTGCACCTGATGGATTGCACCACATCGGTTGCATCACATAGATTTCACACCACAGATCGCAACACATAGCTTGCACACCATATATCGCACCGCCTTGATTTCATCACTATTGCACAGCATAGGGCGCACCACATAGATCGCACAATCTATAATGCACCACAAAGACTGTGCCGCATGTATTGCACAGCATGCATTCCACCACGCAGGTTGCACCACAGAGGTTGCACCAGATAGATCGCACACCACATACTGCACATCACATGTTGCACCTCATACATAATATTGAGCAACATAGGTGGCGCAACACCTATATATACACATGTATATATACATAGATCTACAGCACACTATATTTTGCACAACCTAGATCGCGCCACATAGAATGCACCACATTCAGTCTCTTTACTGAAAGAGTGGTAGGATCTCCCCCCCCCCCAGGGGGTTAACGGTACACTTTCTCGTATTGCAATGTATTTATGATTCTGCCCCATCGTCCATCCCCAGTATGAATTCATACCATCCCAGCCAGGCTGGTGTCGCCCCCCCTCATCCGATGCAAAATCTATTACGTGCGCGCACTCGTTTATTACACACTCTGCAGTTTGTAATAATACATTGCAACAGATGGGTCGAAGTGCACACGCGCGCGTCGTCGCGCGCGCATGCCGACATCCTTCGAAACCTCAGGTTGCCGAGGGGGTTGAAAATCGAGTGTCCCGAAGACATATAAAGCACATGGTTTCGCAACAAGGATTTTCAAACAAAGCCTGCGCCCGCGCTCTTGCGAGTTCTTAAGAAAACCATCGGGTTCCAACATGTGCATACCATGCTACCAAACGGACCTCTCGCGTGCGCATGGCGAAATCGCTCGAACGTCCTTGGGCGCGTGCTGTCGCAAGAATTCAGTGCACCAAACGGGGCGAAGTGCACGCGCGCGCGTCGTCGCGCGCGCATGCCATAATCTTTCAACAGCAACTTAAGGCTTCGTACGGATTTCAAACACGAGTGTCCCGAACGCAATTTAAACACACACATGGTTTGAACCATCACTTTTCAAGAAAAGCATGCGCGCGCGCTCTGGCGAATCCTTCAGAACATCATTTTTCTGTTTTGCAACATTGCCACCAACATCTGCCAAACAGGCCTCTCGCGCCGCATGTGGAACTCATCCGGACGCCCTTGCGCGCGTGCTGGGGGGCACGACCCGTGTCACATAAATCCACGCGGACTGCTCGCGCGCGTCGGCCGCGCGCGCATGTCGTATTCTTTCCAACACTTTCATCACTGACACGAGGACATCGTCATCGTTATCGGCGGTCGTGTTCAACATCGGAGCCGTTATTGGCCTTGCCGTCGTCATCGCCACTACCATCAGAGTTTCCCATCATCGTGTTTACCGTTGTCGACGTCGCCATGATACCGCGCCCGCCCAAATCACCGACTCGCACTGAAGTGCCCGCTGGAAGTGCCCAGCGGTCAGCGCCACCGCGGCCGCGTCGGTCGCAGCGCACTACCTGGTCGCTGCGTGCGCGACCATGCGCGGGGCAGCGCGGCCGCAGAGATGCACCAGCCAACGCCAAGCACTCATTGCAGTCGCCGTCGCAAGGGTTTGGCACTCCCATTTACGGGCGGGTGGGTGGGCTCTTTGCGCGAGCAGTAGAGTTGACAACTTCAACTTCGGCAGGGTGAATGGCACCGCGTATGATACATCACAGAGAGCGCACCACATATATTGTCCCGCGTAGACTGCACCACATAGATGCAGCACCTAGATGGCACCACACCGATTGCACCTCACATATAGCCCCACATAAACTCCACCACATATATAGCCCTCCTCGATAGCACAGCATGGGTTGGTAGAAACATACCGCTCGGGGTCCACGCTGGCTAACATACTTATCCTGGCGAAGGACCCAACCATATGAAGTTGTGGGTACCGCAATTGTGAATATCTTCTTCGGTGAAACGCCCTATGAGGCCATGAGGCGCTGCGCTGGGCGGGGGGGGGGGGCGCATGCTGGCGGTAGCACTGGGGCCGTCGGTGGAGCTCCCTATGAGGCGACGAAGCGCTGCACTGGGTGTGTGAAAATACCAAATCAGGCGTGTGGGACGCATGCGGGCGGTCACACTGGGGGCTTCGGTGGAGCTCCCCATGGGGCCGCGAAGCGTTGTAAAGGGTGGGTGAACATGCCAAATTGTGTGTGGGGGGCGCATGCGGGCGGCCCCACTGGGGGTTTGGGTGGGCCTCCTTATGGGGCCACGACGCGCTGTACTGGGTGGGTGCAAATGCAAAATTTGGTGTGGTGGACGCGCGCGGGCGGTCCCAGTGGAGGCTTCGGTGGAGCTCCTTATGGGGCCACGGAACGCTGTACTGGGTGGGTGACAATGCCGAATCGGGCGCATGCGGGCGGCCCCGCTGGGGGCTTCGGTGGGGCTCCCTGTGGGTGGGTGACAATGCCAAGTTGGGTGTGGGGGACGCATGCGGGCGGTCCCACTGGGGGCTTCGGTGGGGCTCCCTATTGGGTCACGAAGCGTTGTGCTGGGTGAGTGAAAATGCCAAATTGGATGTGGGGGACGCGTGTGGGCGGTACCACTGGGGGCTTCGGTGGAGCTCCCTATGAGGTCACGAAGCGCTGTATTGGGTGGGTGAAAATGCCAAATTGGGCGTGGGGGACGCATGCGGGCGGTCCCACTGGGGGCAGGCGGGCGGTCCCATTGGGGGCTTCGGTGGAGCTCCTTATGGGGCCACGAAACGTTGTATTGTGTGGGCGAAAATGCCAAATTGGGTGTGGGGGGCGCATGCGGACGGTCCCACTGGGGGCTTCGGTGGGGCTCCCTATGGTGCCACGAAGCGTGTGAGGGTGTGCCAAATTGGGTGTGGGGGACGCATGCGGGCGGTGGAGAGGAGGAGGGGGAAGAGGAAGAAAAGAGGAACGCGGGGACCGTCTCTTCAAAACGAAGACCCAACACCACAGGATGGTTGGGAAATTACTCACTGCTTGGATCTCCCCATATGTGCATTTCATGCTTTATCTTATGCCGTAGTGAACGTCTGTTCATGAGTGTCAGACTATGAGAGCGCGCCCATGTGGGCGACAGGCCCGACGAAGACAAGTGAACCCTCATGCCAGCGAGTGAGTACGATTCAGAATGGGCTTTGAGTATGATTGAATATGAGCCTCTTCCTCCTCACTCCTCCTCCTCAGCTGCCAGGCCGTGCCCTCCTCAGCCCGCAGTTGCCGCCGTATGACTCTTCGACCCCATGATCGCGTCCCAGAGGGTACGTGCCGGAACACGACCCAAGGGACCAGCACGCATCTTCCCTCATCTCCTTCCTCCGTGCGTCCCAGAGGGTACGTGCCGGACCACGGCCCAAGGGAGCAACACACTTCGACTCCTTCCTCCGTGCGTCCCAGAGGGTACGTGCCGGAGCACGACCCAAGGGACCAGCACGCCTCGACTCCATCCTCCGTGCGTCCCACAGGGTACGTGCCGGAGCACGACTCAAGGGAGAAGCACGCCTCGACTCCTGCCTCGACTCCATCCCCCGTGCGTCCCAGATGGTACGTGCCGGAGCACGACCCAAACGAGCAGCACGCCTCGACTCCCTGTGATATGCCCCCTGGCAGCTCCCCATCAGGAGTGCTGAAACCAGCGCCCCGCCTGAGACATCGTTTAAGTATGTTGTAGGCGCAAACGATGTTGGGCACCGAAACAGGCAAACCGCCGGAGATATCCCCACAAACGGGCCGCTACCGGGCCCGTGATATACCCCCTGGCGGCTCCCCTTAGGGGTGCTTTAGCCAGCGCCCCGCCTGACACATCGTCAAAATCTGCCGCGTGTTGAGTAATTCAGACTATGGGAAGGTTTGAGTATATGTAGGTCTGAGTATGAGTAAGTCTGTGTATGAGTACGTTTGGGTATGCGTAAGTCTGAGTATGAGTAAGTCTGTGGCGGCTCCCCTTAGGAGTGCTGAAGCCAGCGCCCCGATTGTGGCTCTGCTGCAATGGCAGACGATGTTGAACACCGAAACAAGCAAACCGCCTGAGACATCCCCACAAACTTTCCGCGAACGGGCCTGTGATATACCCCCTGGCGGCTCCCCTTAGGAGTGCTGAAGCCAACGCCCCGCCTGTGACATCCTTTAAATCTGTTGTAGGCGCAGACGATGTTGGGCACCGAAACAGGCAAACCGCCTGAGACATCCCCACAAACTTGCCGCGAACGGGCCCGTGATATACCCCCTGGCGGCTCCCCTTAGGGGTGCTGAAGCCAGCGCCCCGCCTGAGACATCGTCAGAATCTGCCGTGTGTTGAGCAAGTCAGACTATGAGAAGGTCTGAGTATGTGTAGGTCTGAGTGAGTAAGTCTGAATCTGAGTAAGTCTGTGTATGAGTAAGTCTGTGTATGTGTAGGTATGAGTATGAGTAAGTCTGAATCTGAGTAGGTCTGAGTATGAGTAAGTCTGAGTATGAGTAAATCAGTGCATGAGTAAGTCTGTGTATGAGTAAATATTGGTATGACTAAGTCTGTGTATGAGTACTTCTGGGTATGAGTAAGTTTGAGTATGAGTAAGTCTGTGCATAAGTAAGTCTGTATTTTGGGTGTGTTCTTGTTCTCTGTAGTCGGCGGCGTCCAAGAAATAACAAGAACCCATCTCAGGATGTGGGAAAAGGAATGCTGTTCAACATGGATTTACGAAGTGAGGACACTGGACGGGAGGGTGTTGTGCAGTGTCGCCGAAGCACCAGGAGTGTACTCTTGTCCTCCTCTTCCTTTTCCTCCTCCTCTTCCTCCTTCGCCTCCCTTCCCGTTCTGCCGTCTTTCTCCTTCTCTCCTGCTTCCACTCCCCTGATGCAGGTCTCCAGAGGTCCATGGAGGTCTGCGCACAGCCTTCTGGCTGCCCCCCAAGGGGGAAATACGCATCCCAAAATTTGTATCCTCGTCGACGGGGGCGTATCCATATGCACAGCCTCCTGGTCCGTACTCTCCCGCCGCGACCTCATGGATACAGGGCAGCATTGCTCGGATGCTGCGCGCGCGGAACGTATCCATGGTTCGTTCCATGGAATCGCGCATCCCTAAGACTGCGCTTCGGCATCCGGACCTCGAGGGCACGGACGTGTGTGTGTGTGTGTGGGTGTTCCGGATTGCGTTGCTGGGTACATAACGAAGACCCCGCCCTACAAAAGACACATATTCCAATATGCGGTTGCCGGATGTTTCTCGAACCTAGGCGGTCCAGAAGTGACTGGAAGCATCGTCATCACATGCGTGACATGTACCATGTGGTCTAGAAAATAGTTGTATTTCCCTTCGGAAATGTACTCGTCGCTCGTGCGATCCCCCCTGCAGGACCACCTTGTCATGTCCCTCTGGGGCTCTGGCAGGGCCGCTGTGGAACTGCAGTCGCGGCAGGCGGCGGACGTTGCGGGCCCTCGGGTCGATCCCCCGATCGCCCAGTACCGGCTCAACGTGCGCCATCTCGAGGACGTCGCGCTATTGCCGCCGCCGTCGCCGTCGTCTCCGCCGCACTCGTCGTAATCGTCGTCGTCGTCGTTGTAGTCGTCGTCGTCGTCGTCGTCGTCGTCGTCGTCGTCGTCGTCGTCGTTGTCGTTGTTGTCGCCGTCCTCATCTTCTCCGCCGTCGCTGGCGTTTTCACTGCTGTCGTCGCCGTCGTCGTCGTCGTTGTCGTCGCCGTCGCCGTCGCCTTCGCCGTCGCCGTCGCCGTCGCCGTCGCCGTCGCCGTCGCCGTCGCTGTTGCCGTCGCCGTCGCCGTCGCCGTCGCCGTCGCCGTCTTCGTCATTGTCGTCGTCGTCGTCGTAGTCGTCGTCACCGTCGCCGTCGTTGTCGTCGTCGTCGTCGTCGTCGTCGTGGTCATCGTCATCGTCGTCGTCGTCGTCGTCGTCGTTGTCGCTGTCGTTGTCGTCGTCGTCTTCGTTGTGGTTTCCGTCGTCGTCTCCGTCGCCGTCTCCGTGGTCGTCGCCATCGCTGGCGCCGTTGCCGTCGCCGTCGCCGTCGCCGTCGCCTCCGCCGTCGCCGTGGCCGCCGCCGCCGCCGTCATCGTCTTCGTCGTCGTCGTCGTCGTCGTCGTCGTGGATGCCGTCGTCGTCGTTGCGTCGTCGTCGTCGTCGTCGTC